CAAACACGCCGCAAACATGCGTACTAGCCCTAAGGCCCTCCACGTGGCGACCGCGCGTGTGTCTCTACTGTACTCGCGTGTCTACCGCCCCGTGTGCACGTCTCTACTGTACTCGCGTGTGTACTGCCCTGTGTGCGGTCAGAGGATTGTAGTCGTACGTCTCGCTGTACTCTTGTTGTACGTAAACTTGGAATACACATGAGCGCGATGAGGTTGAGTGAGGACCCCGACCCTGACCCCGACCCGACCCTGGCCGGTCTTGCGATCTTTTTTCCTCAAAGACAAATTCTCTGACTGCACTCCAAAGTGCTCCAAGATCTCCTGGCGGCGATCGCATCTACGAACGCTATAGCTAAAAACGTAAAAACCACATCTTACTAAAAGTCTATCGCGAGAGAACTTGCGTCCCTTCGTGCGCGTGGGTCGCGGGCCTGGGTGGAATCGCGCTCGCCCGGTCGGGACCAGCCGTCTCCGCCGTACTCGCTCCTCGCGGCGCCGTGATTGGGCGCAGGGTGCGCCAGCATGTGCGCCCCTTCCTCCCGCACGCTGCATGGTTTGCTTGCGTAGGCACATTCGGTAGCGCCGTCCGCCGAGGCATGGCAGTGAAGCGAGGGCCGGCGACAGCCCGAGGCGCGCCGCAGCGAGGGCCGGCGACAGCCCGAGGCGTGCCGAACCTGCTCTCGTGTGGAGTGCCGCCCTGATCCGTCCCCAGGGTCAGACCGGGGCCGATTGCGCCGCTCTGCGAGCAACCCGTCACAAGGAACCCTCCCGCGCTGTTGCCCCTCTCGCCGCAGGCTCGCCATCCGAGCGAGCATTCTGGTCGCTCCTGCGCGTGGCTCGAGCGACGGACGACCGACCACACTCTCTCCCGCGCAATCGCGCCCTTTGCCGAGCACACGTGCAAGCAATCCAAGCCGGGGCGCTGCTCTCTCGACCACAATGTATGGGACTGAGTCTATACCTGGTATGCTTCCCGTGATCGATGTTTGGGCAAGCCTGGCAAGCTAACATAGATGACCAAGATCACACACAGCCCCACAGGTTCGAGCGCTGCTCAACTCCACTCGTCCTCGCCGCAAACATGCCGTACTAGCCCACACAGCCCCAAGCCCTCTACTTGGCGACACGCGCGTGTACCGCCCCCGTGTGCGGAAAGAACAGAGTTGTGTGTCGCTCTAATGCACACGCAACACCAAGGAATGCAAAAATCAAAAGATGTCGTGCGGCTCGCACGAGTAGGGGCCGCCGCGCATGTACTCGTGCAGCTCCGGGGGCGCGAGCCCGAACTCGTAGCTGACGATGTTGCCGCGAGCGAGGCACGTGTGCATGTTGGTCAGCACGTTGGCGACGGGGAAGTACAGGCCCACAGGGGAGAGCAAGACCTGCAAGGCGTGTGTGTGAGGCGGGGTGAGTGCTGCACGCGTGAGGCACACAGTGTGTCTACAGCGCGCGTGTGCGTGTGTCTGCACGACGCGCCTTGGACTTCTTGCGGTAGTCGAGGAAGGGCCAGAGGTTGACGATCTTGCCAAAGCCCCACTCGACAGTGACGCGCGCGGGGGACATGGTGCTGTTGAAGAACTGCTGGGCCGGGGTCATGGCGCCCTTGTACATGCGCCACAGGAAGGCGCTGATCGGGTAGGCGGAGTCGCCAAAGAGGCAGTAGTCCTGGCCGAGGCCACCTGGCATCCACGCAAACGGGCCGCCGCGGCAGAGGTCGTGCAGGATCTGGACAATTCGCGAGCGCGAGAGGACGGTGGAGTCGTGCCGGCTGCCGTTCACCGGGCCGAAGGGGTAGGGCTGCATGCCTGCGCGCACTGGTCGTCCACGTGACGTGTGTTTTGGGGGATGAACTGACCGCTAAGGAGGTGCTGGTCACACCATTTGGGAAGATGATGCCCTGCGTCTTGATGCCGTGGATACGCTTGTGGCCGGAGTACAGCACATTCTGATACCTGCCCGGCCGGCACACCGCCCAGAGCTTGCCGTCGATGAAGCCGATCAAGTTCTGGATGGGGAGGCCATAGTCGGTGAAGGCCTGGGCAAACTGGTGGAAGTGCGGCGACCACGAGGAAAAGGAGCGGTGGTCGACGAGGTGCGGGAATGTGTTGTGCACATGCTCTACCTGCGCAAGGGGTGCAGAGAGCGGTGCGGTCGAGTGCACGGTGCAGCAGCACAGAGCACATCCAACGGCGCGCCATGTACAGCGTGACCTCGGAGAGGGCGGAGATGTTTCGCCCCGTCGTCCACGTCATCTTGTCGAAGCCGTCGTCGCTCCGGAAGCGGAGCAGCAGCAGCAGCACAGCTTCCTCGCCGGTGAAGAGGTGCCCGCCGACAGTCTGGATCACAGCCGGCACCATGAGCGCCGCGATGACGATTGGCAGCCAGCGAAGGTGGAAGCCGTAGTTCTGGTACGTGGCGCTCGAGACATCGTCGCCGGCGTGCCCGCGAGCCGCCGCCTCGCGCTGCAGTCGCGCCACGCTCAGCCGCTCGGGTCCGATCTCCTGCGTCCTCCGGCGCATGAGCGGCTCGACGCCGGTGACTACGAGCTCGTCCTGCACGTCGAGGTCGCTCTCGGAATCGGAGTCGAGCATGTTTGCCATGCCAAAGAAGAACTTGGACTCCAGGAGCTCGCCGAGGAAGTATGCGCGGCTCGGCATCAGAGAGTGTCAGCAGCAAGTGTACGACCGGTGAGAGCTGCAAAAGCGCGTCGGGCGGTTCGAAAATCAGCTGATTTTCGAAGTGTCGAACACAAGTGTGGAAGCAAGTGTAGAAGCGTGGCAAAAACCCCCCGATATATGTGGAAGAGCTGACTGGATGGACAGAAGAGCCTGTTCCTGTACACTCTGTAGGATTTTTGCTAAGGTTCCACATGCCCACGGCGGGCTCCCACCACCCACGTGGCCACGTGTATGTATCCGTAGGTAGGATCCGGGACTCGTTCGTGGCGTGCCTGGCGTGGGACCGACCGTCACGACACGCCACATCTATACGCATCAACCTCAAGAAAGAAGAGAGACTCAGGGTCTCTCTCTGTGGGTGTCAACCTCAGTCCTCACACCCAGGGGCGGCTGGAGATTTTGTTGTTGTGTTGTTTGGCGCGACACGGAGCGGGGCTGGGCAGGGTTCACCCACCCACACGACAGGCAGGGAGGGTCCCAGCCAGGGATTCCTCTCTCGTATAGGCCACAGGTTGCACCCGGCGGCACGGGGGCAGGCGCGGGCCTCCTAGGATTCCTACTGGTTGCGCTCTCCTAGTTCTCCTGCTCCTGACAAAAGGGACAACAACAAGTTCGCAGCACGTTCGGTGGCCACTGGCGGTCGGTGGGAAAAAAAGTTTTTGCTGGCATCCGCCTGAAACGAGAGAGGCCGCTGCCCCCAGAACAGCCAGCCGAAAGCCCCGGGCGCCCAAGTGTGCCCGCTCCAATGGCGCGCGAATCGCCACCCCCCTATCAGCTTCTCCCCGGAGATCCGTTCAACCTCACACTGGGCGTGCTTGTGGCCTCCCTCCTCGCGGCGTGCAAGCGAGTTCCTGGGCTCGCACCCCTTGTGCAGGTGGCGGCCTGTCGCTCGCTGCCGCCCGCCGCCCGCCAGCTTTCAGCCCGTCCCTTCCTCACGCCGCGCAGTGGCAGCTCAACGCGTACACTAACTGGAACCTGATCTTCATCATGCTGCGGCTTGCACTGAAACAAAAACAGTGGGATCCGTTCCTGGCAGTCAATTCGGTCGGAATTCTCGTCGGCTTCCGCACCGCGATGGCGCAGGCAGACACAAACGCCGTCGGCGAACGCGCGCGCCGCGCCCGTCCCGTCCCCACCCGCATGCCGGTGGCGCAGGGCATCGACGAAAACATGCGCACCAAGATTCGGCACTTGGGGCTGCCGCTATCCCGCCGAACGTTCGTCTGTCTCGATCACCTGCTGCACACGGTGCCGCCGGCGCTGCTCGTCTCGCACCTCGTCCGCCGCAGGAAGCGGGTCCCGCTGCTCAACATCGTCTACGTGAGTCGCGCGTGTGCCGAACGCAGCGAGGGAGGGAAGGGGTTGAACGTAGCGTACGGCCATAGGTGATTGGGCTGTCGACGTGGTTCAACTTTCGGCAGAGCGGGCTCGCCCACGCACCGAGACGCGTGCCACGGCTCCCTGAGTTGCCCATGGTGTGCGTCCACAGGCAGAGCGGACACCTCGACGCCTCCGAGATTTACGTGCCGCACCCGTGGCGGCGCACTTGGGCGCGAGAAGCCGCCTCGCACCCCTGCCGCAAGCCACCCTGGCCCCTCACTTCGTCGCTCCGACGCGCTGCCTCCTGCGCCCGCTGCCCCGCGGAACCATCAATCTCCCACAATTTCCGCCGGGTCCAGGTGTCCATTCTCGTCGGGTGCGCTGCCACGCCGCCTCTGGTCGACGCGCTGATCCGCAAGGAGAGGTGGCGAGTGCTCGCTCTGGCGAGCGCCATGCTGCTGCCGTACCTCTCCTCCTCGCTCGACCCGAGGCTGCGGCAGCGCTACTTCTTCGAGTTTCAGCTGCAGCGGTTGCGCAAGGAGGAGGCGCATGCCCGCCCCAGCCCTCTTCCCGCACCCGTGCTGCACACAGACACCCTCCCCGGACACCTCCGCAGCAGTCGGCGCCCACCCCGAGAAAATGCCCGCAGGAGTCGAGGACGTGCGAGGACGCGCCGCGCTCTGTCACGCCGGGCGGCGCCTTCCGCAGCCGCCCCACCGGAGCGCGGCAGGTCGGTCGGTGCAATACGACGGAGTTGTGAACACGGAGAGAGATGTGTTCCTTGTGGCAGAAGGGTGTTTCTGTTAACATTTGCAGCAAAGATTTCCGTGTTCTTGTCGACTTGAACGGACTTGCAGCACCGGGGCTGGCCGTCGGGGCTCTCTTTTCGACCACCAGCTGTGTTTGAGCGGACCCGCGCCGCGACCACGTGCACACACCACACACCACGCGCACGCAGCAAGTAAATAAACAAAGAGAATAAAAATCGACACCTCTCTACTGTGAGGTGGGTAAAAAAGAACAGGTCCCCGCCCTTGCGATCTTTGTGCAGGGTTCTTTGTGGGTGTGGTCGGCGACTAGCCGGGGTCGTCCTCCCGATGGGGGGGACTAGCACTAGCCGTCTTCCTTCTTCCAGTTCCACATGGTCCCTCTCGCGGGTTGTGTGGTGAGTTCGGCATGTGAATAAACCGACACAACTCTTTCAGCAGTCGTGTCGCCTTTTGACTTCCCCCGCATGAGAAAAACCTCGGACGTTACGTACCAAGGAGCGTGCCCATGGCCGCCCTAAAGAGTGACTCGCTCACACCCAGGCCGGCCCGGGAGTTTTCAGCCAGGTTCTCCCGGTCCGTACAGCACCCTCTCTTTTCCTATCTATTTTCCCGGGAAAACTCCGTGTCAATTTGGGGGGCTCTGAGCCGAGTCTGAGGCTATTTTGGGGCCAAAATCAGCAAAATCGGCCAAATACCGGGTATTTTGCCGGGATACCTGACAAACCCCGGGTATACCTGGAAAATACCCAGGTATCGTGCCGATTTCCTCAATTTTGCCTCAGATTTTGCCCCAGCCAGCCAGAACAGCTCTCAGACTCAGCTCTCAGGGAAACTCGCCACGTTTCCCGAGCGAGGGAAACTCGAGAGAAACAAGAATGGAGCACCAAACACCCTCTGTTTTCCCTGGAAATTTCCGGAAACGCAAAGTGCCCAGGGGCGCCTCCGTTTTCTTTTTTGCAAAAAAGAAAGAAAGAAAGCAAACAGACAACCCAAGGGACGGATGGGAGGACGGCACGCCGCCACCACACAGGGATTTTAAGGAGAGGGGTGTGGTGCGCTAGCCGTCGCCCACCCTTGGGCGTCCGCCTCTTCCTATCTCCCTTCGCAGTCCCTCGCCGATTCTCGCTGCAACCTTCATGCCACCTCGCGGTCGTCCCACTCTCGTCGTTCTCCCTCCTGTCGCTTCCTCGTCCTCTGTCGCGTCGCTCTCCTCTGCCTCGCAAAAAGTATGTGCGGCCTTGTGCCAAAACTGAGCTCTTCCTGATTCTTTTTTGATGAGCCGGTGTGTGTGCCAGTCCGCGTGATGGCGGCGTTTCCTGATTCTTTTTTGTCCCGTGCCCAGTGTTGTGCGAGGCTGGGGTGACAAATTTTTTTGAGAGCGCCTTCGTTGTTAATAGTAGCAGCCCAATTTTTTTCGATGCGCTTGACAGCGTTCTGATGAGGCAACTCGCCCTCACGATCTAAGAAGCAGGGTGTCTGGAGATAATGGACGAATATTTCTATACGCACGAGCCGCATCCGGGGCCGCGCGGCGGCGGGAGCGGTCGCGCCTGGCCGCGCACCATCGATCGCGGCGTGTCGCCCGGTCCAGCCGCAGTGGCCCCGAGCGATCGCGGGCAGATTGGCTTCTTGAACGTCACCTTTGTCGCGCGCGACGACCCGCTGAGCGCCGCCCGTTTTGTCGAGGGTGCCGGCGCCGCCGACCATGATGACGAGCACCACATCTTCCGGTCGCA